AGACTCGAAGCAACACCATTTACTCAAGATTGAATTTCAACTTCACAACGAAGGATATCTAACTCAAAGCGAAACATCCACGATTTCAACTTCACGACGAAAGATATCATGCTCACAAACAACATTGGATTTCAACTTCATAGCGAAGGATATCCAATTCAAAGCTCAACTTCAAAGCGAAGGGGCTTTCCAGTTTCATTCAGAGCCAATTTCAACTTCACGGCGAAGGATATTGGACTCGAAACATCTACGATTTCAACTCCACGACAGAGGATATCGTGCCTACGAGACAACACGAGCTCAAGTTCACAGTGAAGGGGCAACTGATTGTCAACAAATAACTTTTCAGTTTCATTCAGAGTCAATTTCAACTTCACAGCGAAGGATATTGGACTCGAGACAACACAAGCTCAACTTCACAGCGGAGGGGCGGCTGGCTGTCAAGAAACAATTTTCCAATTTCAGAGTCAATTTCAACTTCACGACGAATGATATTGGCCTCGAAACATCATAAATATTTGGATTTCAACTTCACGACGAAAGATATCCAATTCGAGGCTCAACTTCACAACGAATGGGCCATCCACGGTTTCAACTTCACGACGAAGGAAATCGTGCGAACCAAAGACCTTCGAGTTCGACTGCACTTAGCTCAAAGGCACATCATTTGCAGCTTAGTTTAAGTCGAGAAGGGTTATCTGCTAACCAAATACCTTCGAGTTTGACTACGCTCAGCTCCAAGGCACATAATTTGCAACATAATTCAAGGCTAGAAGGGTTATCTGCCAACAAAAGACCTTCGAGTTCGACTACGCTCAGCTCCAAGGCACATCATTTACAACATAACTCAAGGCAAGAAGGGTTATCTGCTAACCAAATACCTTCGAGTTCGACTACGCTCAGCTCCAAGGCACATCATTTGCAACATAACTCAAGGCTAGAAGGGTTATCTTCCAACAAAAGACCTTCGAGTTCGACAACGCTCAGCTCCAAGGAACATCATTTACAACATAACTCAAGGCAAGAAGGGTTATCTGCTAACCAAAGACCTTCAAGTTCGACTACACTCAGCTCCAAGGCAAATCATTTACAATATAACTCAAGGCAAGAAGGGTTATCTTCTAACCAAAGACCTTCGAGTTCGACTACGCTCAGCTCCAAGGCATATCATTTACAACATAACTCAAGGCAAGAAAGGTTATCTGCTAACCAAAGACCTTCGAGTTCGACTACGCTCAGCTACAAGGCACATCATTTGCAACATAGCTCAAGGCAAGAACAACTATTTGTCAACCAAGACCTTCGAGTTCGATTACACTCAGCTCAAAGGCACATCATTTGCAGCATAGCTCAAGGCAAGAAGGGTTATCTGCCAACCAAAGACCTTCGAGTTCGACTACACTCAGCTCCAAGGCACATCATTTTCAGAATAGCTCAAGGCAATAAGGGTTATCTGTCAACCAAAGACCTTCGAGTTCGATTACGCTCAGCTTCAAGCCATATCATTTGTAGCATAACTCAAGGCGAGAAGGGTTATCTGTCACCAAAGACCTTTGAGTTCGACTACGCTTAGCTCCAAGGCATATCATTTGCAGCATAACTCAAGGCTAGAAGGGATATCTATCAACAAAGACCTTTGAGTTCTATTACATTCAGCTCAAAAGCATACCGGATTTGAATCATAACTCAAGGCGAGAAGGGTTATCTGTCAATAAACCCTTGAGTTCGATTATATTCAGCTCAAGGGCGTATCAAATTTACAGCTTAGCTCAAAGCGAGAAGGGTCACCTGTCAACAAAAAACTGTTGAGTTCGATTTCATTCAGCTCGATAACATATCAACCGTATGGTAGCAACGAAGAACTACCTTCTGGAAGAATTTTCAAGCCGAGGTCTTTAATCGAGAAGAAGACCAAGGCCCAATTCCAGACTCAGGCTGAAGCCCAATCACAGTTACTCCCCAAAAAATATATCAAGTCTCAAAACAAAAAAGGACCAGACAAAAATTGGTTGTCTTTATCATCTTTGTCCTATTCTTGTTAACACAAGAATGTGCAAAGAGGGGCAGTTGTAGACCCCATATTTTGTCCTCATCCACAGCACTACACCCATGCCCACGTGAAGCTGCCAACCATCCTATGCCTACTTGTTGCTATCATTGCCAGCCACTATTAGAGGATAAGCTAAAAAATCAAAGCATCATCACATTAACCAAGTTACATGATTTTAAAATATAAAATCAGTGTAAATTTGGTTATAAAAGAAAAAGTCGAATGCATGTATCAGGGGGGGAGGAGAGAAACAATTGTAAGGGGATTACTCTCATTTTTCAGAAGGGGATAGCAATAAAATACAGATTATTTTTTTCAGAAATCCTAAGGTAGTTCAGTTTATATTTTTGTTTTCTTTAATTTTTTTGTTCAATTCGAATACAACTAATAATAAGAATTTTAGTTTGTAATTTTGTTCGTAGTTAATGTAAAATCCATGAGTTAAAAAATAATTAAAATAGAGATAGATAGTTAAGTTACCTTGCTGCAGTACGTCGGAGTAGGGGTGTTGTCGTCGTCGGGTCTAGAGTTGAGTGGTCGGTGTGGCTCTCGAGTTCACTGGAAATTTGGGTCGCCATGGTTGCTCTGTGAAGGAAAAGAAAGCAAAAAGACTAGAAATGAAAAAATAATCTGGTTCACGTATAGAAGGAAGAAATGAAAAGATATTAAGCTTTAAAACATTTTGGTTAAATCACTTGTCAGGCCACTAGTGTTTAGGAACTTTATATTTTGTTCATATATATTAATGATTAAATCATGCATAAGGACCTCATGTTCAGTGTGTTTTATGCTTTGGTCCTAACAGGGTAAAATCACTTTTAAGCTCCCTTATTTTAATGCCTTTTGTACTCTGGTCATATATTTTGTTATGTATTTCGAAAATGAATATTGATTTTAATAATCTTCGAATTTAGCCACTTTTATTTTAATTTTTTTATTTGAATCCTTGTTTATTTTTTATTTAGCTATTATTTTATGTTTTATTACATTTTAGTCAACATAATTAGATTTTATTACAATTTAGGCTCATGTATTTATTTTAGATTGATTGTTGAGGATCTTATTTGTTCATATTTATTTATTAGGTCCTTTTACTTTAATCCTTTAATTTTTTGTTTGTGCTATTTTAGTACTTTATTTTTTTTTTTGCTATTTAATCTATTAAGTTTCTGTTTTTCTCTTGCAGCTCATTCCTATAATTAATTCGATCCGTGAATTTTAATTATTTCTAATTTCTTTTTATTTTTTATATAAATTCTCTTTCACTCCCTTTTATTTATTTATTTTCCTATTTTATATTTTATCTTTTAATACTAACTCTTTGTCTTTGTTGGTTTTATTTTTTTTACTTTATTTATGATTTTTTAGGGATAATTTTAATTGATCAAAAGGTAAATAATTATGATCGAATTTTTAAATTTTAATTTTAATTTTTGCAATTAAGACAACCGATAAATTAAATGGTACCGAAATAGTAGTTCAAGGGTGTTAATCATTCCTTGACTGTAACCGACTCCCGAACCCGACATATTTATGGTAAAACGCAGATCAGGTAAGATGGTATCCGATCAACCTAAATATTTTTTTAAATGATCGGTGGCGACTCCTAATATTTTATTTCAAGTCGAAGCCAAATTTCGGGCCCACCCGAGAGGCGATTGCGACAACAATATTTTAATTTATTATCAGAAAAATAAAAAAAATTATACTATAGAAAAAATTAATTTGTGGACCCTTGGCGGGTGTCCCTCCTGTGTTGACCCAAAGTCAGCCCTGCTCGTAATGATCATATATTAATTAAATAAAAAAAAGAAAATAATCATATTTAAATAAAAATAATCATATATTATATTTTTTGAAATAAGTGATTAAAAGTAAACAAAATATAAAGATAAATGATGAACCATGTACTTAACCCTAATGTTTATCATCTTAAATCCCATCCTCCAAGTATGACTTAAAGCTTAATGAACTGCTCATAGTGAATTCTATTGATGAACTATAATTACATTATGATTTTTCTATGATATGATTGATAAAAATATAATTTTATAACTTTAAAATATATAATTACATCGATTCTCATATTTTCTAAGAATTAAATAATATAAATAAAATTTTCGTACTATATAAATTCAATAAAACTTATAAATTAAGATGTTTAATTAAATACATCATAATAAATATATAACTGTATTAAATTACACCTAAATATAATTATATGGGAACCTTCCGAATATGATATTAAGTTTTCAAAAAGTTGTTCTTTTCACCGTTAAACTAATATTGCCTATAAAAGAATTAGCACAACTAATTATTGAATTGTTGAATGATTTAAAACTTTAATGAGTCCAAGTAGACAATCTGCTAATAATACGCTCGTATTTATTTAGAGTTTCATCAATAATATAATAATCAATCAACATCTAATTAACTTTCATTAAAATATTTCCAACTCTAATTTTTATATTATTTTTATAAATCTAATCAACATCAAATGTCTTAATCATAATTTTGAATCATAACTCTGAATTCAAAAATTAAAAAATATAAATCCTATGCCCTAAAATTTATTTTTACTGTTATTATTGGTTTATTTTAATAAATTAATCAACTCAAAAAAAGAATAATTGGAAACAATAAAATAAGAAGAACAAGTAAGAAATGCTAGTTCATAAAAAGCAAATTATAAACAAAATTGGATGGTTAATTTTGGTAGGAAAGAAATGAAGTTAGATAAGAATCGTTTTGTATTATGAAAAAAGGGGGGATAAAAATGGTTAATATAGAGGCAACTATTCCCAGATCACAATCTTAATCCCTAGAATCCCGACCCTACGTGGCATTGTCTTCCTCGTCAACTACTCGAGTCATTTTGGGTCCCACGCTCCACTAATCATACCCGCCAACCCAAACTATATAATTGATTACTGAAAAATTAAAACAAACGATACGCGATTTAAAAAGCCACAGAGGGGTTGAGGCTTAAAGGTGTGAATTTTCGTGGGTTGTTTTTTTTAATGGCGGAAGTAGAGAAGCAAGCGAAACTTGTTGTAAATGGAAGTAAAAAGGGAGAAGGAGAAGAAGAAGAAGAAGAAGAAGAAGAAGAAGAGGCGCTGTTGGAAGGAATGGCGGTGTTGGAAGGAATGGCGGTGTTGGATTTCGACGTGCTATGTTCGACGGTGGCTTTGCAAACCCAGGGAAAATGGAGCAAACTCGAAACCGCCGAGGATCCTTTAGAACATGGAAGCGGCGAATTCGGTGGCGTCTTCAGGATGTGGGAAGGTGAAGTTGTTCTCGATTTCTTGGATGATCGCCGTCTCGCTCTCGAATCTGCCTGGTTAGTTCTCTTTCTCTCTATCTGGATTTTGGGAAAGCGGTTGTTTGTTTCATGGGAAAAAAAATCATAGATAGGAGTACTAAATTTTTTTGCTATATTTATTCTTTGCCTTTAATCCCGAATATTTTGGGTGCTATCAAAATACGTCAAAGTAATTTTACAGTTTTTTTTAAGTTGGTGTTAAGAATGAAACTAATTCAAGAAGAACCTGCTCCTTTTGCTGGCCCATTTGTTTTTTTTTTTTTTTTTGTATGTATGTTTTCAGCTTCGGGGTTTTCTGTAAAATAGTCTCAGCCTCAAAAGTAAATTATTTAATCATTTTGATTAGTTTAAAAATGATTATATTTATGTTTTTGTAGCTCTTGTTTTTTATGTTATGAAACTGATACGAGTGCTTGTATATATGTTTGTTTTGGTATTTCAGTTGTCCCTGCTACAGATTTGGGAAGAACATGCGGCGGGCTGGTTTTGGGTTTTGTTTTCTTCAGGTAAGAAAAATTCATATTTCTATTTTCTTAACTCCATTCCTGGAAATGGGCAATTCCCAGATATGATCAAGTTTGGGGATTATATGTATTCTAGTTCCTGCACTTCAGATTTTATTGCAATCGATGATGTATTTCAACATTTTCTGAAAGTTGTTAATTTGCTTCTGAAGGGAACTATTTATTTCATCCTCATAGCTACTGCTATTCTCAACTTTGTTGCCTTTATCTTCACCAAGCGGAATTGCTTTCTGTATTTGGGTGTTGCTTTCATCATGTCTGTTGGAGCATATCTGGGTTTCTTCCGTACACAGATAAAAGGAAAATTCAATATTAGGGTGAGAACATTTTTGTTTCTGGACATGCTTGATTCTTGCCCAACTCCAGGGTCTAATTATAAGTGATCAGATGCTACTTCTTTCTGCATGTTAATTATAGTATTTCGTAATTGAATTTGTGGACCTGACCGAGGACGTTATTGATCTTGTGGAAGAACATCAAAGTTTGAAGGTGTTGAAAGAACCGACTAGATTGAGGAAAGACTGCTATACATTAATACACACCGAGTTCCAGAATCTAAACTTTGAAACTCCTAGGGCCACAAGATGCCTTTTTATGCCGAACCAAAGGCATGGACAATCATTTCTCTTTATTCCTGTGATTATGGCATTGTTGTTGCATTAAACTTCCATTCTTTTGCTTTATAAGAATTATAAAGCTTGATAATTGTGCATTTTTCTACTACTAAACGTCGGATTATATAGTTAATTTTAAGTGATGGTGTTTTATTGATACTTTCTGGATAAGACTAGCTATCTTGAATTTCAACTACATGACCACCGTGCTTTTCCTAATATTTCGTCTATGTTTATGTTGGTTGTAGATTTCTGATAGTTATATGCATTAATATTTTACCAGCATCTTGCACTCCTGATTCGGTTGGAAATTATGTTTTTTTTTTTTTTTGCAGGGCAGTGATAGTTTATTGGATGATTGCGTCTACCATCTTATCTGCCCTTGCTGTACGCTATCCCAGGTTCTTATCCTTACCTTGCTATTTTTCAAACATTGAGTATTTTATTTACTCTATATAATCCAAAACTGCAGCAAGAGTCATTCAACCAGTGACAAAATCAAATGCATCTCGAATAGTAATTCTTTAAAAAATAATCATTTTCCTGAAGTTCGATAAATATCTTCTTTTCTTTTTAACATGGAGCAGGAGTCTAGAACATTGGAGATGAACAATGTCCAAGATGGTACATGGCACGGTCGTGGTGATATATGCATAGGAAGTTATGCTGAAGGCCGAAAACCGCACTTTGAGCTACACCCTCCTCCTCCTATGTCAATTAAGACGGCTGAGGCACAAAATAGTTTAAATGGCAATGGTAATCATGAGAAGCTTTACCGGGAAGATATAGATTGATATCGGCTACAACAGTGAATTACCAACATCCCTGAATTTATTCTTTGATGGAGGGACGTTGCACAAGCAGAACAGAGAGCAAAGTTTTTTCAGCTTGGAATGTCGCATCCTGCAAGAACGATGATCCGTTTTATTCGAGAAGCATACCGGTGTTTCCATGTGCATAAAAAGGAAACTAGTTGTAGTAGTCTGAGGGAGATTTTAGGATATCCAATCCAACTTTTAGTTTTCTCACATAGACTTTGAGGCAATGTCGTCCTTTCATCTTTACCTAGATTGATTAGATAACACCTTATTCATCGTAACTGTTCTTGATGCTTCTCTGAAATGTATATTATCTTTATTTTAATGAAAATACCATGGAAATAGAGTTTTTTAAACTTGCTCCTTAACGTGAAACTATGATTAATCATGTGGTTAATCATTTATATATAGGTCAGGATATATTTTTATTGTGTAAATTTTTTTAGTTTTACACTATTTTAAGATTGTTGGATTAAGAGAAATTAAAGATGGAGATTAATATTAAAAAAAAGATATTCACTGGAAAAAATAAATAAGAGTTAGTCTTAATATCTAATTTTTCTCAATCTAACTATTTTAAAAAGTTGTAAAATTAAAAGTTTTACAATGTTTAAATTTTGAAATAAAGACGTTAAGGACATTTAACTGAAAATACGTAAATGTTAGGGGCAAGCCTAGATTTAATATTTGAACTCCGTTTTCCTATCCCAATCCAAAGCGTACTTTATACCATAAATATAATTTAAGCTGTGATACTTGGACCATCTACGATGGCCCGGTGGTCCTCAAGAATTTTTTTTCTGTCTACAGAAACAATATTTCCTATATTTTTCCCTCCAAAAGATGGTCCCCAAAGCTTCATTCAGGACCATCAACCTTTGCCCCAATGATCCAAATCCACCAATTAATAGCAAAACTTGCAGTGTTGCAGGCAATTCATTTCTTACAAAAACATATTCCCTAATTGACGAACAAGACCAAACAACAAAACCTCGCTGTGTTTAAGTTGATTGGTTCCTGTGTTTTAAAACAAAACAAAAATTTCCAACCACCACTTGAGTCTTGACGCGTCTCTCGTGCTTCTCAGTACCTCAACAACCCACGAAGATAAGACAGTTATTACCTTCCCCTCACCTGCACCCTGGTTGCTTTCAAGCACAAATTGTGTAGTTTCTCGACAAAGATACCATAATCTTTTAAGACAGCACTTGAACGTTGTTTGCCTTTTCTTCTTCCCCGCCAATCTTCATTTTCTTTGGTCTTTTTTTCTTAACCAATTCATTGTCGTGTTCTCTAGTTTGACATGATAAATAAAACCTCCATTTCTGCTTTTTCAACAAAAACCCCATTTTTTACATTAAAATATCTTATTGAAGGAAGCATTGCTCTATTCCCTATTTGCTACAGAACAAAACAACATTAAGAGAAACAATTTGTACTATTTTAACATTTTAAAGCCTTTTTTTGGTCCTTCATGTTCCTTCTCCAACAGTTGGCATGTCACCCCGGTTGAATTTAACAAGGCAATTAAATAAACAAATAATAAACCATCAAGCAAAATGGATTAGATTGTCTAATTTCTCTCGTCTCCAATTATTTTATTTTATTTTTCAAAATTTTTACTAGTAAAAGAAAAGGGCAAGAAAATGAGGGGCTTTAATAGTGATAGTGTGCCATTCATGCCCCTTTTTCCTAGTTGAAACCTTATTCACATGGTTGAATCAGGGAAATGTTCATCATATTACTTTCTCTGCAAAAAAACCATTCAATTTGCGACGCTTGATTCCTCTGTTTTCGGTGGTGCTGTTGTTGGAACTCTCGCTTTCTGATTTGCTGCAGTGGCAGTCCAAAACAGTTAATGGGGTTCTTGTGCTTGAGCCTGTCACCACGTCTACCATCAACTCACTCACTTCGTTATTCACCATTTCTTGCATTGCATCAAAGCATTTCTGCACCATCTCCTGTAAAATCTCGTCGTTGAATTCATTCATTAATTTAAACAAACATGAAATAAAACAAATTTTATTCTTTAAGACTAAACTATAATTTGTCGTATTTGCATGCTTACTTTATTCACGTATTCACAAGACAAAATTGAGGTTTCGAAAGATGGAAACTGCAACGGGAATAACTCATGACATGCCAGAAGAAGAGCTGACGCTGCAGTTATTGATGGCTTGAACTCTAACAGACTGATTTCTGTAATAGAAAGAAAGAAAAAGGCAAAGTTTCCTCACGTTTAAACAGTTTTGTCATGAGAAAAAAGATTTATATGTTGTGTTTAATTACCATTACGAGCTTGGAAGATTATATTGGTTGCTCTGTCTTTTAATGCTTGTGACAAAGGTGGATCTTTAAGTTGGAACAAAGATACATAGAAAGTGATAAAGGAGAAGGGAGTTATTGATCTCATTCGCCAATTCAAGGCATCCAGAACCAGAAGCTCCATTCGTTGGATAGCTGGGGGATCAAATATGAACCATTCTTCCCTCTGTTTCTCCTGTTTATTAGTATTCTTGCATGGGGCTAAACAATTTAAGGAAATGAAAATCGAATGTAGATTCTTCTTCTTCTTTTATACCTGGAAATCAGACAAGGAGAAATGTATTTCTCTCATCTTCGCAGCCAGAGAAATGCAAGCTATCACAATGAGAGTCGCAACCCATGGATTACCTTGCTGCAAAGTTCGACATGAATTGCATTTATGTTAGCATAAGTTGTTGTTACAATGCATCAACAAATAAAAAGTCTGCATCTTATTTAGAGGTATTTCTGTGTTTTTCAATCGACCCTTCACTAATCTAACTAAAGTTTGGTTGAAAATTCATAAACAGTAAAGATAGAAAGAGATATACAGGGATTTCTTGCCAAGAGATGAACCGATCCATGTAGTTGATAGCCAGGTATTGCGTGTAGGGGTCAAGGTTACAGGAATACTGCGCCTGGCAAACTAAAACAAGTTCACAACAAAATGCAAGAAGATAAAACACAAGAACAGTAAACAACATGAAAGAAAGAAAGAAAAGGAGAACAGTAAGGGGTACCTGCAAAATGAGAGAAATGGCTTCCTGCCGGAAAGAAACATGGAAGTCACAGGTCTTTAAAGAATGGAAGTAGTTGAGAGAAGGCATGTGATGAGATTCTGAAGAGAAGAGAGCTGGAACTGAATCAGATTGATGATCTTCCAAGCTCTTCAATGGGTCTTCAAGATCAAAGTTATCCATATCAAATTCTCTCTTAAACACCTATTGCACAGTTTAGGTGTGGTTGAAGAATCGTAGAATGAGAAGGAATAAATGATGAGAGAGTAGTAAGTCTGCAAGAGAGTGAGTAATAGTATTAATGATGGAAAAGAGAAGCATCGCTTTCTGTGCAGAAAAAAGAAGGGGCGAGTAACTGTGGAGTGTTCAACATTAGTTCTCAGCCTCAGCAGGCGGCAGCTGCCCTATTTAACTTATATGTGCCTTGGTCCCTGCCCTTTGCCTTTCTTCTCTTTCTCCTTGGAAAAGGAAACAAAGAAACGCCATGGTTCGTGCCTACTTTTTGTTGTTTTAGCAACCACCGTAAATATTTTCTACTCTTATTTAATCCAAATTAACAAATCTCAAATCAGTAAGTTCTAAATTTTTAAAGTAAAGGATCATACTTTCAAAATCCAATAATGTTTCTGGAGAAATGGGTAATTGTGCCCATCTTTCAACATATTACAACATATATTATAAGGTATTATATATTCAAAAGATTTTCAATCGTCATTTGATAATAAACATTCGAATATATATGTAACACCTTGCTCGAATCTAATAATTTTAAGAATAACAACAATTACTTTAAATATTATGATAATTTAATTCGTACACAATAACATATATTACATTAAATAGTTCTATTTTCCTTTACAACCCCGTATTCTTCCTCTTGGCTCTTGGCTCCTAATATGTAATGTAAGCCAGTTGAGCATTAAAGGTTCTCGCCGCCACCTCCTTTTAATATATAAGTCAAGTCACATTCCTTGACTCAAAACTGTGCAATAGCCAATAGGTGGAACATCGAGATTAGGATTGAATCAATCATTATATCACTATTATGTATTTAATCTAATTATGCGTCCTCTATCATGGGATAAATATTTCATAATTATCTATGAGAAATTATTTATTTTGAGATTATTAATTATTATTATCGTTAATAAAAAAATTTAAAATTAAAGTGCATGTATCATTTATATTGGATTCGGAAATTTTAGATATAAGGTTCACATATGACATATCTATTACTTGTATACCTAGAATACATAGTGGAACTGTAGAGACTGTGCTTTAGCCTTTAGATATTTGACGCATGCTTTTTCTTCTTTTTTTTCAATTTAGTTTATTTTAGGTGATGTTCACGTGAGGTGGCATATGAAGAGAGACCAAATATTACAGAATTCTTTGTATTTTCCTATTTAAATTATTATAGATTTATCAGTATAAATTTAAATGAAATCTCCAGATTTAATAACTTTTTTAGTAATTTTTATATAAAAATTAAGAAATTTATTTTTTTTATTGTAACTTTCATTGAGATTTTCATATTTCAATAAGTTGTGTATTCTTACATTTTTATTTTATTTATTTGTGTTTTGTTTATTTAATGCTGTATTAATATAAGAGAAACTTTTATGTGTTTATTATTTGTGTAAACAACTTTACGTTTTAATCTATCATGCTTTGTATAGTAATTTGATACTGGGATCATATTCATATAAAAAATTTTGAGTTTGTATCCTGTTTTAGTTCATAATTTCTTCTAATTCAATTTACTTAAAGAAATAATTTATCGTTCTTATTTGTCATGATAAATTCAAATGATATTTTAATTTTGATACTATTATACTATTTAATTTTTATAAAATAATTACTTGATATACATTATTATTTAATTTATCTCATATGTATATAATTATCATAATAATAAGAATTCAATTGTAAATATATGCTCTTAGAATATAAAATAATAATTGTTGGAAATAATAAAAATTAATTTTCTATAAAATACTTTTTTGAAGTCTTCCTTAAAAAATATTTGAAGCATACATACGTGTGTAGTTAGTGATTAACAAAACTAAATTCGATTAAAAAATTAATTTCTAAATTTTGATTTATTTGGATTGTTCAATTTATTTATTTAACTCAAATTAGTAATTTGAATTTTGAGTACGAATCTAATTTAAAATTTAAAACAAATGAAAATTTGAATATTAGAACTATATCATTTTACTTTAGATTTAGCTAGTAATTTGATTTTTTTTGTAGTTTGGTTTTAATTTCTATGTTTCTTAGA